AAACCCCTGAGCCGGTTTTGGCCAGTGAGCGTCGTAAGTTGGGGGGTATTCGGCGTCCTGGGACCTTCATCGTTTTGACAGCACCGCACTCCACATCGGATACGACACAGCCTTTGGACAGCGAGACAGCGAGACTTGGAGAGCTTATGCAGTTTTAGCATCCTGCGACTACTCGAAGAACTACGAAGTTTCTTGATGTTCGTGCTTTCGAGCAGTGCCAGAAAACAACCGTGCAGGTGTGAAGATAGCCAAAACTTCGGAAGTCACCAACCGTGTGACCTTTATCTTTGAAAACGCAAACTCACCCCAGCCAGAATCGAGGTACCCAATCCACAATGGTTGTAGCATCCGTTCGACTGTGCTTTTTTGGTTGGGGGTTCTGACCTATGGATGGCTGTAAGTCTCTCTGAACGTTGTTCTCGAAAGTCCCAAGGGTTTGCAGTTAAACCCTCAGCCGTACACCCAGAGAAGACATACTCCCAGAGAAGACAACACCCAAACACTCGGCCCTACGCCCTAAACCCAGTGATACCTGATAGTACCTCAAAAGCATAAGAACACGTGTATCGGTAGTCATAGACACAGCAATTATGCAGTAGTAGTGCAAACCGAAACTGTTCTAGGATAGACCCTTAACCCTGAGCCATAAACCGTAGTAGTACCCAAAAACTGCAGCAATGCTAGTTGAGAGCCTGCGTCTCCGAGATCGAAGATGGTGGAGCTCCTTGCGGCTATCGGTTTCGGGGCGAAAGCCTCTTGGGAAAGAAGGGTTTAGGGTTTGGGGGGTTTGGTAAAGGGTTTTTCTATGGAATGTGTGGGAGTGTTACAGTGGGTCGATAAAGTTTTTGCAGGGGTTTGGGGTTTATGAGGATTATGGAGCAATTTGAGGCCGGGATCTTGGGAGTTATGGCGGCTGATTTGGCGGCTTTCGTCTTGCGGATTCTGGGCCGAGGATCGGGTCTATCAAGGTTAAAGGAAAAGCTTTCCAGGCCTATACGGGCCTATAATTACAACTATAGTACTGTAATGCTAATACTCCGATGCTAATAGCTACGACAATACTACTATAACAATACTACAAGACTATTGCGGCAATACATGGTGAAAGGGTTTCATGTTCAGGCTTTGAGGCTGTCCTAAGCTTGGGCATGTTTATGTTCGCACCTTGGGGCTCGATATCCCCAAGACAACCCCACGAACGCAGCCCTGAAACCCTCAAGCCCTAAACCCTAAACCCTGAAACCCTACACTTTAATCCCTATAAACCCTAAACTCCGAAAGGTGGGGGTGACGACTGTGAACTGCAAATCCGAAGGCCGAATCATGCAAGACCCTGAGCCACCTAAAACCCTAAAGCCCTTGAAATCCTCAAAATCAGTGCCCTAATACCAGAACCCTAAACTGAGCTCATAACCCCAAAACCCTAAACTCAACCCACAAGCCTTAACAAGCCTGCCTCAAGCCCCAAAAGAAGCCCAAGAATGTGTCAACGAGTGCGGCCACCCCCCCTCCATGCCGCCCGACCGGGCTAAGCCTTAGCGCGATCCAAGGAGCTTTTCTCCTACAACCGAGAAAGCTACAAGTTCGACCAGGCGGCGGAGTGATCCGGCATATCCCTACTTGGAGGTTCATGGTTAGTTAGAAATGGCGTTATAAGTAGGGTAACTATAGTTATAACCCATATTAGAGGATTTAGATCCGTACTTATAACTACCCATGAACCTCCAAGTAAGGGTCCAAGTACCTAATAATCATTACTCTCCCGAATATTGACCCAGATAAACACTACCCGCAACCAAAGTACCTTATTCTTGGGTTCTTTGGACCCTTAGGGTATGGTCTCAAGGGGACTCGAGAGATTTCGACTCAGGGCATTATAGGGTTTAACGTGCTAGAGGTAGAGAGACGGGGATAGGCTGCAAGGCTCTGCAGGGCTCATGGGGTTCAGGGTAGGGGTGTTAGGGTCTTAGGGCCTAGGGGCATGGTGGGCCACCATCCCACCTATTGAATCGACTTAACGAGGCCATCATGCACCACGAAATCAACTCGCTGGTTCTTAGTCGGGAATGGGGGAATGGATCCCTATGATAGTCCCGTAAGGTCCCCTATCCTAGTCCCAACAACCCATTCCTCCATTCCCTACTATAAGATCCAGTCAGTCAAATCGCGGAACCCTAAACCCCCTAAACCCCCTAAACCCTCTAAGCCTCAAGCTCTAAACTAACCCTAAACCCTAAACCTTAAACCCTAAACCCTAAACCCTAAACCTTAAACCCCTAAGGCCAGAACTCCTACACCCGACCCAGCCGGAAGTCCCTGCACCCTCTCTAGGGCCTCTAGGGTTTGGGGTTAGGGCTCAGGGTCTTTATAGGGTTTAGGGTTTTACAGGGTTTAGGGCTTCATAGGGTTTTGGGTTTTATAGGGTTTAAGGTTGTATCGGGTTTAGGGTGTTTTATAGGATTAAGGGTTTTTTATAGGGTTTAGGGTGTTATAGGGTTTGGGGTTCAGGGTTGACTGGTTACATGACCCCAAACCCCAGACTCTAAATTCTAAACCCTAAACCCAAGACCCTATCAGCAACCATTCAGAGCACGGTGCGTGGCACCTGAAGCCCCCGGTATAGGCAAAAGCCCAAACCGAGCCGAAGACCTCACAGACTGGAGTGCTGCCACGGCGGTTGATGATAGAAATCCTGCATTACCCCTAATAAGGAAAAAACCACAATTCCCATAGCCTAGGGTCCTTAAGGTAATGCAGGACTTATATCATCAACAGTATTGTAGTGAAGCTCAGAGGCCCTCTCATTTTGGGTGTTTTTGGTTGTCTGATCTCCGAAATGAACGCCCGTATAGGACCCTCAGCGCTAAAACCCTCACCCTTTGAGTTCTTTCTACTCGCTACTCGGAACCCTCGGAAAATTCCCTGAGGGGTCCAAGTACACTCTAATATGGGACTTTGGGACCTTTTTGGGTAGCAAAGACCATAAATAAGGACTACCTGGTCCCTTCCCTACCCCTGGGCTTCATCGTAGTTCCTTTTTTTATGGTTCATATTTTGGATCCTATAAGGTAATCCCAAAAAGGAACTACTATGGAGCCTGTGGGTAATTGTAATCCTAGAACCCTAACCCCCCAAGCCCTAAACCCTAAACCTTATAAAACCCTAAACCCTTAACCCTAAGCCCTAAACCCTAAACCTTATAAAACCCTAAACCCTTAACCCTAAGCCCTAAACCCTATAAAATATAAAACCCTAAACCTTAAACCCTAAGCCCTAAACCCTAGAAAATATAAAGCCCTAAACCCTAAGCCCTAAACCCTATAATATATAAAACCCACCCTAATCCCTAAACCCAACTAGTCGGTCTCTTCCGTAAGTTTCTGTTTTTTTGATCGCGAGGACCAGAGGTTGGAGCGAGAAATGCTACGCCTGGAGATGCAGGTGCCTTTCACACTTACTTGGAGGTTCATGGGTAGTCATAAGCAGGGTTATAAGTCCCCAAATGTAGTTGTAACTATAGTTATCCTACTTATAACTCCAGTTTAAACTTACCCGTGAACCTCCAAGTAGGATCTGAAGGCATGTTTATAAGAATGAGAATAGCTCGTAAGGTTTGTTGTTTACTCTGTTAAAGGGTTTCAGGGGTTCGGTTTGTGTAGGGGTTTCATGGTTTTGTTAAGCCTCTAGAACTGTACAGGGTTTCATGGTGTTTTCCCAGGATTTTTATGGTGTTCTATAGGAGTGTTAACAGGTTTTTTGCATGGGTAAAGTCGTGCGTCGACAGGGCTCCACTCCAAGGTTTCTTGGCATTTGTTTTTAATGGGCCTTTAGGCAACCGTCATCTGAAAACCAACCGTGCCGCATAGGCGGAGACTGGAGCCCATGGCCTCGATCAGGGAAGCATCGAGGGCAGCAGAAAGAAGGGAAGGGGCACGGCAAGAAGCAAAACATAGCCAGGGTTTTGACAAGGCTTTGACCAGGTTTCCGGGCTCCCCTTTCTCCTCTCCGAGACAGAGTTTCTAGTTCTAGATCCCTTAAGCAACTTGTCTCTGAGACCCGCGGAATATTCTGTTTTTGATGGCCAGAATATGTTTTGGGATCCCTCATCCATTTTGCAATTGGTCCTCTTGCAAATTGAATGCGAACTGTGTCTGTCTACAGCTTAGATGCGATGTTTCGCTCAAGGGGTTTCAAGCTGTGCTGATGTCCAGATGTCCAGTTCTCTCAAGAACAAGTGCTGCTCCATGCTCGCCTTTCAACTTGCTCTTTGCATTGGCTTGGTCCATGGAACCAACACCTCAGCCTCAGACGAGGAGTACTTGCTGGCACGGCAGGCCCAAATGCCACTGAGAGGAGATGTTCCGGACTACATGGAACGCTGGAACGAAGAATGGGCCAAGCAGTTGCCGCTGAATGCGCTCAACCAATTTGTTGCTCTGGCGGGCAGACTGTATTATATTATATTATATTATATTATATTATATTATATTATATTATTGGCAACTCCAGGAGCCCCCCCGGCCAGCTCGCCGGTGCTCTCCTTTCCATATTTTGGCCTTCCGGACGTTCCACGAGAGCGCTGGTGGAATTCATCCTACAATGGACAGAAGACTATGTCGAAAAAGACTATGTGGCGCAAGAGCTCATCAAGAGTCTTAACGGCTTAACGGCAATGTCAGCGCCGATCTCAATGCTCTAAAAGTCCAGATGGGCATTTACCAGATTGGTGTGGAGAACCTGAGGATGGAAGCGACGGGGGCTTCTGTCTTCCCAAGTGACAGGTTTATGTCCTGCCTCCGAGCTCTCGAGATAGGCCAGCTGGTCGAGATGCTCTGTACACAATCAAGCGGAGCCCCGTGAAATATGGAGCCATCGCAAACTACCTCTTGGCCTTTTCGAGTGTCCTGACGATTTGGAGGGAGCCGTACGAGCTCGTGGTGTTTTACGAGAACTGGAAGCCAAGCATCTCAGATCCCCAAAAAGCTCCCAAGGAAGGTGCCATGAAAGTTCCCGGTTACGTCATGAACAGCACGGAAGTGCGGGACCGCATGAATCGCGTCTATGAGAACAGCACTGCGACTTTGCAAGACATTGTGGATGCCTTCTGGGAGTGGCGCTCGGAGAAGATCGATTTCTCGATGCAGAAGGGCGTCTTGAAGTGGGAGGACCGTCTCACCCGAGCGAAGCGCAAGCTTGGGAACAATCTGCAGGCGAAGAGGGACGAGGTCCAGGATGCGGCTATGCTGGTTCTCAAGCGGGATATCTTCGTGGGCGAGCTGGCGCCCATGCTGAAGAGCCACACCACTCTTCACCGGCTCCTGCCGGGCCGCTCTGACGATCCCCCAAAACGAGAACCTTTCTTCCGCGAGATGATCTATCTTGGGCCGTACTCCAGCTTCATCATGGGCGCTGTGAACACGAACACCAAGGATGTGGCGGCCTACATTCATCCAGATCTGATTGAAGAGGATGCCAAAGGCTCGGTTTACAAGGCCGGGGGCCGTACCGGCGCACATGTGGACCAGCTAGTCCTTTTCAACGCTGGCAAATCAGGCACCTCCGTGACGAAGATCGGAAACGAGCAAGGAGGCGTTGAGAGGGAAGGACAGTCATTACCCCCCTTCACTTGTGGCATGGAAATTGCCTACCACGAGAACTACATGAACGAGATTGCCTTCATGAACATCAAGAACCAATCCATGGCAATCCAAGGTTTGAAGACGAGCGACAGGGCCAAGAGATGGTATTCTGGTCCAGGTTTGTGCGGCCTCTATACTCTGCACCAGTTCCACAAGTATACCAAGCCCTTTTCCTTCACTTTGGGACGTGGAATCGAGCTCAGCTTCAAATGGGAGCCAGTCACAGAGGAGGACTTTTGATTTTGACGCTGCCATGCGGGCTTGTTTCTATATACAGCTTTTGCTGTTGCTCCAGCTTTCCACATGTTGGGACATTGCGACAGCGCAACACAGCCCCAGAGCCGCTGCGGAGCCGCCAAGCAGGCGGAGCCACTGACAAGGAGCAAAACCCGCCACATGATTGCTTGCGACTCCGCTGTACATGTAGTTAATTGTAGTTACTTGTTGAAGGCCCCTGTTCTCAGCCTGAGCGCAGGTGAAGCGATTCGAGCTTTTCCGCGAAGACGTCCGCGACCTCGTGGAGCTCACGGTGGGGAGAGTTTTGCTCGCAAGGTCGAAGAATGCTAGATTTCGTACTTACGATCGTCATCATGACAATCATTACCATACCAATCATGAAAGACAGTAAAACATATGGGCTTTTAATGTACCGTTTGGGGTTTTGGTACGGTTCGGAGTTTTAGTTTAATGAGGGTTGTGGGGGAGCAGGACCCGCTCGTGGCCCTGCCTTCAGCCACTCTATGGAACCAAGTAGATGGGCTTTGGGCCTGAACTAAACCCTAAACCCTAAACCATCTTACATAAGCTTTTGGTCTGTTTGGACCGTGGGAGCTTTGGGCAGAGATTTGTGTTCAGGAATCCTGGTCTTATGATACTTAAACCGGAAAATGGGAGAACTTGAAGCTTGTTGGCTTTATAAAGTTGGTCGATAATAGAGAGTTTGAACTTCTTTTGCGCCCGGCTATCGAGGAAGAGAAGATATAATGTCTATAGCCTTGAGGGTTCAGGGTTTAGGGGTCTTTATGGTGTGGACTGTGGGTTCAGAGCTTAAGGCTTTGTCGTTTCAAGTTCAGTTCAGGGTTTGGGGCTTATGGTTTAGGGTTTTGGGTTTAGGGTTCAGGGTTTAGTGTTTATTTAGGGTTTCCAGGATTAAGCTAGTAGGGGTGGGGTTAGGAGTTCCACAGTTTAAGGTGTCGGCTTGGTCTCGAGCTTCTTGGGTGCAGTGAGTAGGGCCAGTAGGGTTCAGCCCGAAATACGGGAGCTTAGGGTTGAGTGCTCTTTCAGACCTTTCAAGGAATCGCGCCAAAACGGCATGGATCCGAAGTTGCTAAGCCATGAAAGCCCTCCGCAGAGTTATGGAGTTGTGGAGGCTGAGCAACAAGAAATGCAAGATGAGGCCCAAATATCCCTAAACCCTATAAACCCTAAACCCGGAGTTCGACATATTTGGGATTTTGAGGTTCCCGACGCGAGCCTGCAGGCGAGCGATGCCACGGGGGGCGCTTTGGTCCTTTGGTCCGCATGCCGCGCGACGGAAGTTGCCTCTACCCATAGGCCCCTAAGTAGTTCCATTTTATGGTTTATATCCAGAATCCTATAAGGTAATCCCAAAAAGGAACTACTTAGGGGCCTATGGGTACCATGCGCTGAGCCACGGTGCACCGTAGCATGGTTGTCGTTACGGGCCTTCGTTGCCGCGAAGCGTCGACGTGAACCTAGGCTTGGGCCATGGTTTTGCTATTCCCTACGGGTCCATGTAGCCAAATAGATAGACTTTGGCCTTAAAGTAGTCCCCATATAAGTACTTTGGGGCCAATGTATATACTACTTGGGCACATGGACCCTTAGGGATTGACACACACGGGATCCTCCTTGCGAGGTGTCTGATTTTAGGGTTTAGGGTTTATAAGGGTTTACTCAAACAGCGCCTCAGAAAGCCTCTGAAGGAATACGCGGCTCCCTTTCAAGACCTCTGTCTGTGGAAGCCACCAAGGCAACGGTATATCAAACTCTTACAGAGCCTGTCTAGAAGCCTGATAAAACCCGTTGCGACGCCGCGTAGACTGCCCGTAAATCCCGAAAACACCTCACAAAGACCACTGAACCCCCAGCCCAATAGACCCTAGACCACTGAACCCCCCAAAAAAACCCATCAGACCCTGGACAAGTCCAATGCCCTAGGAATGGACGTCTATCACCTCGTTGGGGCACTATTTCTAGAGCCTGCCCTGCAGAAATTCATATCGGGGCTTGGCTTTCGGTTTCAGGGTGCAGGATATATGGCGGTTTGGGGTTTGTCTAGCACAAATGTCTCCATAGCTACTAATCAGCTAATGCGGTTTCTTGCCGTGAAGAGTCTAAGTTTCAAAAGTTTGTCGATTTGAAGCTTGCGCGTCCAGCTTTCACCCCTGGAGTTCGGGTCACCGCAGAAACTGCATAGCTAATGTGGTGTCTTCCATTTTGAGTTGCGTTGACTTTGAAACCTGTGCGTTGAACCTGTGCTGCAGAGCTTGGGGTGAGTTCTATATATATATATATGTATATACATACACACATGCATACATACATACATACATACATACATACATACATAGACATAGACATAGACATAGACATAGACATAGACATAGACATAGAGATAGACATAGACATAGACATAGACATAGACATAGACATAGACATAGACATAGAGAGAGAGGGAGCAAGAGAACTCGCTGTATTCTGTGTCGCGGCTGACGGGTGACTGACTACTATGTATATATATATATA